GAAAATATGCGATGAGTGTCGAATGTGCTTTACTTTCGCAAGGGGTCATCTAGAATTATTATATTAAGTATTAGATACGAAAGTAAAAGGAAGTATGTGCTACTGCTGGCCGCTGGCTACTTAAATCTTTAATGGCTAATGATCTGCGTGAGGATTTCTATAATGATGGTTAAACAGCGCACAATGCGTTGTTGTCTGAAATAATTCTTTTGCGTCCATCTTCAGGACTCAAACACTTATGAAAGCAACTCACACAATGGAAATCCATTTCCTAAATTAAACAGGATTCAAAAAATGGATTTCCGAAATTTGAATGAGTGAATAAACCTTAAAAATGAAGTAATAGTACGACTGATAGAAAAATGTTAAACATATATTTAACTTAAAACTTTCACGAAAAACAAACTTAGTTACAAATAATGAACCACAAATTACAATACGTTTACTCAAATGGATAACAAAATTCAAATTTTACATCTCTGAGATTAGTTTTGTAGTAAGAATTAAAGATATAAACTATTCTAACAATTCCTGGTCTTCTCAATAACTATCTGTCAATATCAGGTTGTCCCATTTCACACGCTAAACAGTTAAATTTAAACGAAAATGATGGATTATTGAATTTTTACAAAGTGGATAAATTGTTGTACTTAATCGATATTTGTTTACACTATATTCTATTACTTATTGATTATCAAACAAACTCACTCGTTTGATAGTTATTTAAACTCGTTTTTTTAATAACATATGATACAATACTTATATCGCAGATATATTTTATCTCATTATTTTTCTTTCAAAATAGGTTCGAATAATTGGATGTTAGTTCATTTACAGTTCGGTTAATTCGAAATATTTTCTTCTTTCTGTCAGAAGCAAAACTCCGCGCGCTCACCTGAAGTCCTTGCCATCGTAGAAGTCCCAGGCGGAGGCGTGGCACACGATCTCGCGGTCCTTTGGCTTCTCGAGGATGGACCGCTCCCAGAAGCTCTCAGCTCAGGTGAGTGACGTGATAGAAATACGATGCGCTGCGTGCAGACAGCTTGAACAGTGCGCTCTGGGGTGTAGCCCTGTATTCAGCCACTGATCGCAAGATATCACATCATGAAAACGTAAGACGGTGGTGTTAAGAAGGCTTCTCGAGGATGGACCGCTCCCAGAAGCTCTCAGGCATGGCACTCAGGTTGAGTGACGTGAAGAACTGCTCAAACAGCTTGAACATGCGCTCAGGGGTGTAGCCTTGGAGCAGCCACGCCGAGTATGCAGGGCAAACTAAAACAAAATTAGTTACTAGGGTGAAAGAACACTTTGGGAATTTTAGAGAGCCGTCTAACAAGCAAATTTCGGTCACAAGCCATACAATTAATACTCAACATAAAATGGATTTTGAAGAAATTGAAATAGTTGACAATGAAACCAAAAGATTTCCTCGGTAGTATTCGAAACATTATACATACAGCTGCATAAGACTATGAATACTTTGCTGCAAAGTAACTTTTTCACGATTGTCTATGACCGTTTTTTATATACAATTTAACAAAAATTTAAACACTGATCTTTTTTCTTCCATCTCAGCATGTTCTTTAACCCTCTATTCCCCTCTTAGCCACTTCCTTCACCCCCTTCCACCCCGTCTTTGTCGTTTGTGGGAGACCCTCGCGGTCTCTCAGTCTGTCGGCAACCACACCATGGACGCGTGCTAATGTTAGTACACAAAATTGAAATATTCTGGAATGCCTTCAGATCCTTGTTTATCTACTCATTTGTTGATGCTTCCTTTCTTTTGAGATACTTTCTATTTTTATGATAAATTATGGATTTTATTATTATTATTCATGTTATGACGTAACATCAGTTTTATGTAACTTGCATCAACATGAGTGGTTTTCATATGTGAGCTGAGGTAAGCTATCTCTTCATGTGCCTTCTGTTGCGCCATATCTAACAATGTAATAAATGTCCATGTAAAAATGATTTCATTATATTTCAACTAGCATGTGTTATTTTGTATTTTTATGTTTTTAATTTATTCCTGTGATTAACCTGTTGTTGAAGAATAAGTATAAGCTCCGAAACGTTGTAAAAAGCTGAATAAATCATGTTAATAAGATAATACCTGTATAATTGTGATTGTCTATTATTGAGCGAACCTATTTTCATATAAAGATATAAATACAATCAATACCATTATAAATAAATTGCAGCAAAAGAAAAGGTACGAGTGTTCCCACTCAAAGAAAATTTACTTCACCGTTTAAAGAATTTTTATTGTTCAATTCTTTGAAAGACTATATGACCGAACAAGAATGAAATAAAAAAATATAATAATTTGGTAATGAATTGCACATCTCAAATAACGGATTTTGTTGGCTCTAAGCTGTCGGTTATCGCCTGAATTTGTTGGGTTGAACCGACGTTTACAGTGGTACCAAGGGAGAACAGTTCACATTATGTTTTATGATTTATGGTAAAGTTCTCTTAAACGTTAGCTGTTAGGGATGATTATAACACAGCGTGAGCGCCAGAAGGCTCTCGTGAACGGAGTACTTTGGATCCATCGTGGACCACTTGGATACAAAATACATCGGTCGTAAAATTGCTTTCGTTAAGAAATTACGTTGTTATAAAATTAGATTTCTAGCATGAGCAATATGAACTGAAATATATCCGTTCATTGATTGAGATGAATCAAGTCATTGGAATTACTGAATCAATGCGACCGTACCGCATACATTTCCGATTTACCCAAACTTCAACAACACACATTATTTGCTCTAGCTCAGCCTAATGATTTTAATATCAACTAAAATTTGTAGTAACTTTATAATAATAATAATAATAATAATAATAATAATAATAATAATAATAATAATAATATTTTTGCTTGCGAATCGGCCGACTAGGACCATACATGCATCCTACTTTACCGTGGCTCAGTATCATTATCGCGGTGGCAGGTGCATGTAACTTTTTAATTGGGGTACAGCATTTAGCTGAGTCCGATTTTTTTATTCCACCGGGGTTGTTAGCCCAGGGAGTATGGATGATGAAATGATGATAATGAGGGGTGGAAGGACCACACACTCATACATACACAAATACACCCATGCCCGCAGCGGGACTCGAACCGGCGATCTTCTGGTCCGAAATCACCACGGCACTACTGCCTTAGTGATCTCGGCCACCAGATCAGCAATAATAATAATTATTATAATTATTATTATTCTTATACTACTACTACTACTACTACTACTACTACTACTACTACTACTACTACTACTACTAATAATAATAATAATAATAATAATAATAATAATAATAATAATAATAATAATTATTATTATTATTATTATTATTATTATTATTATTATTATTATTATTGATGCTTTTGTAGTTTCCGTACCTGCTCCAGCATCTTAGGAGTAGCGTCCGTGTCTGGAGCGTCGGGATAGGGCTTCGAAAATGGGAAAACAGCCTCCCAACTCTGTGCCCACATGTTTCCTAAAGAGAGAAAAACAGAGGAACGATATTTTTTCTATTTGCTTTTCGCTAGAATTCAAAATATTTAGGGGCTCTGTAAAAAGTACCAAGACACCTATCGTCTTGATCTCCAAAGAAATTGTAGTTCTTCAGCTATCACAGTCAAATCGCATAAATAAGACATTCATGTGAACAAATCTTGACACCTAATTACTAAGCTTGACTATATTGTAGATGTTGGATTTTGTAGAACTCTTAACTCGGTGTTAATTTACGTCTATTGTTAGGGAAACGTTTAATAATTTGGTGACGGACACTTGCAAGCTTTCTTTCCAAAACTCTATTTTCAAAATTTGACATTTTGAATTAGGATCGGATTCATGGAATGTTCAAGCTAGGGTATACACTAGTAAGATTTTATGCAAAACAATATTAAACATCTGTGAATGCTCAATGAAAATGTTTGCCAAAACTGAAGGACAATAAAACTGTTTTCTTTCATAAAACACAACATCCAAATGTTTCTAAACAAAATTCACTATTTGCCCTCATGGAAACTAGTTTGGTTTTAAGTTTTATTAATTCCTGAAAAGGTAACAAAAAATGATTTCTGTGATAAAGTCCTAACCTCTAACCTATATTTTGTTTGGATTTTAGTTCAAAATATAACTGAAAGAGCAATTTAAAATATAATTTGCAAAAAGGACTATTCCCAGGAAATAGTAAGTTTTGAAAAAGAAAAGAAACATTACAAAAATCACAGTTAGAAGTTAGTGATCTCATCAGTAAGTCTCTTAGCGAAGCAATATTTCTTGAAAAATATATTTATTTAACTTCTAGAATTCCCTATTTATTTAACGTCAAGAATTTCATTCGGTTTTCCCAACTGGGTTTTCCCAACTCTTTCCTCAGTGGCTTTGGGCTGTTGCGTTAATTCTGGTCATCTCAGATGCAATTCGTTAAATCAACACTTTAGAATTTTTATAAGTTTATGCAACGATCACATTCAGAACACCCAACCCTACCCCTGACCATCGAAAGATTCCACTCAAAACTTTCCTACTCCCCTCGTTCATTCTGCCTATCAATAGACAGACGGGGTCTCGTATTGGTTTAAACTGTTTTTGAAAGTTGTACCGTGTTATTTACTTGAAGGCAGGTATTTGACGATTCTGAGTTTTGGAAAGAAAGCTTCTAACTCCGTGGCTGCGTTATAAAGTATCTGGGAAACTCAACCGTGAAAAGCAACCCAAAATTCTGCATTTTCAGAAACGCTCAAACGCAAGCAACAAAAACGCTGTACAAAGAACACACACATAACATACAACACTACCCTTGACCATCGCAAGGTTCCCCTCGTCATCTTGGAATGGCCCGTCGTTTAAGCAACGCGAACTGTTGGTTTGAACTAGTTCCTTATGTTTATTTTCTTAAATTCTATTCTTCAACGCAGGTTTTTTAGTGTTGTGTATTTCCGAAAGAAAGCTTCTAACTCCGTGACTGCGTTGGGCTCAACGTACCGAGCAGGTGCGCAGGGATGGGCCCCTGCTGAGTGACCTCCGCGTCCCCGTAGCGCATGCGCAGATGCCTGCGCACGTATGCGTGCAGCTGCTGGTACAAGGGCTGCATCTGTTCCCAGAGGCGCTGGAGATCCTCACGGAAGTTGGGGGTTTCGTAGGCTTCCAGCCACATCTCTGAGTTGTCGGTGAAATCTGTAACAAAAGGATTGTTGAATTCAGTGCTTAGGTTGCAGAACCACCAGATATATTAGAAAAATATCTCTTAATATCTTAGGAATACACATTTTCCTTTTAATAACATGCAATATTCAAAATATTGCAGCACTATTGATGTATGTGAAATTGTTTTGAAATCAAAGAGCTCTAACACGGGCTCTTGATATTCTTCCGGGCAGTGACTATGTCACGCTCTTAAGCTCTTTTATTGTGTTTACGTTTTGGCCCTATGTTTCAACATAGGGCCCGGGTGCTATTGACACCGCAACTACTATACAGAGTGAGCCACGTAACTTTAGCCCCTCCTGTAATATTTGAATGAATGAAAGTATTGCTATGCAGTTTTCACGGAAGCGCATGAGGGAATAGGGTTAATTTATATATGTATTGTTTCTATTTTATCACTAGTATTTAATGGATATTTTGGATATAACTGTTCACGAGCGAAAGTCACGCAGCACTCTAGCTGCTAACACACACTAAAGGTGTTACAATATGTGTTCAACATGAGTCGCAAAAATCAAAATTACTAAAAAATTATTATCTAACATATGACAATATGTGTATTGTATGTAGTTACTTAAGTAAATGAGTATATATATATATATATATATATATGAAATATATTTCGTAAAATACAAGTCAATAAAGTGTAATGAATCTACATATTCTCTAGCCCCATTCCCTTAGGCACTTCTGTGAAAATTGTATTGCAATAACTTTGACCGTTCAAAAATTGGGGTGCTAAGTTACGTGACATTCTCTGTATATTCTATGCACCGCAACCAGCCACCGGATTTCAGCTCAGAGAAGTGGGAGTGGGGAGAGGGGCTGACCTCAAGGCGCGGCGCGGCAACCGAGGGAAATATCAATTTTCTGTCTTCTTTTGAAACTAGCTGCAACTTCATTCTATGAATTTCGCCTGTTATTGAAAGTACACACGTTTAGTCAATTCTTCACAATATTGACTGCATTATTTATGTTTGGGGAATTTCTTTTTATTTGATGTTAAGTTTGTTGATTCAGAACGTACATTACTTACTGTTGAGTACGGCCGTCGCACTGACATTCCTAAGAGCGTCTTTAGGTTAGCACTTACTGTTGGGTGAGCACTTCCCATTGAGTGAACACTTATTTTTAAGCGAGCTGTTACTGTTGAGTAAGCACTTTCTGTCGAGCACTTGTTGTTGAGAGAGCTCTTAGTCGCTAAGTGAATACTTACTGACGTATGAATACATACTGTTGAGTGAATACTTACGGTTAAATGAAAACTTACTGTTGAGTGCATACCTGTTATTAAATGACAACTGACTGTTGGGTGAGTACTTTCTGTTGAGTGAGCACGTACTGAAGAGTGAGCACCCACAGTTGAAAGAGCACTCACTGCTAAGTGAATACTTACCGACAAGTGAATACTTACTGGATGGATATTGGAAGGGATACTTACAGCTAAGTGAGCACTGACTGTTGAGAGAATACTTATTTTCGGTGAGCACTTACTGTTGAGTCTGGCTGCTTCGTTGCTGATGGTGACGTAATTGTAGAAAATATCACGGAATTTCTCCCCGGACGCACGTCGCCACTCCACCCACACGTGACGCAGCTCGCCGGCGTCACTGGCGTGCGTCATGATGTTCACTAGATCTGCGACAGAGAAAAGAGATGCAGCACCTACCGGTTAGAGCAAGAGAAAGAAGATTCAGCACGTACTGTATTGGTTAAAATCAATGGAAGTAGAAACCAAAGAAATGTGGCTCGGTATCTCAAAGTGATGTTGCCTTTCACCAAGAGATCCGGTATAGATTCCCGGACAATTTCATGTTAAATTTGTTTCGACAAAACGAGTTTGCCTGCTTCACATGAGCTAGTCCAACCCCTGTGAAGTGTCCTAAACCTCACCTCTTTCCTAAATCCTTCCAACTCTGGCCGCTGGGTAACGCAAGAAAGCATGTAGGAGGCGAGTGCATGGAAATTGTACCTGGTGGTCCTCTTGACAACGAGCACGGATTCGGACTTACTGTTTATAAAGTAACGGAGGATTACTCCAAATTAAGAATAAACGTATAAAGTAACGGAGGATTACTCCATAAGCGCTCAACGCCCAACAAAGGGTTAGGAGAGGCGTTGCGTCGTGATGAAGATGCAACAAATGTAAAATAAGAGAGAAATAACCTTTACTGATTAGTCAGAGATAGGAAATACAAAACACTTGCTGACTAGAGCCCAAAAAAGAGAAACAACACTTACTGGATAGAATTAAAGAAGATACAGCACTTATTGGTTAAAAGCAGAAAAATGAGCAGATATAACACTTACCGGTCAACGTCAGGGAATAGAGATACAGTACATTCAGATTAGAGGCAAAGAAAGGTGTGGGCCCTGATTTTGAAATTACAAAAGTTAATAACGCTTAAAGGAAAAAGCTATTCAATTATTGTGTGCCACTGAATTCAACTAATTTTCAATTTATTATTACAGTAAATAAGAAATAGTGTTGGATGTATTTATACAAAAATCATTAAACATTTGAAATCTGAGTTTCGAAAGAAGTTCTTTCTACCTGATGAACGTTTGCCGTTTTAGAACACATAGATTGTTGAGGCTACTTCATATTTTGACTCTTCTGTATTTTTCGATAATTTTTGTGGAGTATTTTTTCTTGGTCCTTTCACGGTTTACTTCACACCCATGTACGTTCTGTACCATATTCCTTTCCTATTTCCCGAGTATTACAATTCAATGTGCTTTCTCTTTCTCTGCATCTGTCTTTACGATCTAAAATTTTTATTAATTTGCTTCGTCAACTTCGTCTCGCTTCTGATCTCACAACCACATATGCGTTCCTTCCTCATTGCTATTTCTCTTGACACTACATCTCGTTTTTTCTCACCTTTCGTTTCGAGTATTACCAATTTTTACATTTCTCTCCGCTCTCTCTTCTGTTCATTTTCGTCTCTGTTCTTTCTTTGTCTCAATTTTAACCGCATTTCGAATTATCTCGTCTTACTCATCAATATGTTTATTTCTCACTTCTTCATTTCTTAATATCTCGTCATGCTTTCTCTCTCTCTCTCTCTCTCTCTCTCTCTCTCTCTCTCTCTCTCTCTCTCATCAAAATGTACTTATTTGTTTAAGTGTAACTGTTAATTACTCACCTGGCTCTAGGCTGAGGTCGCATTTCGTTTTGTTTCGATAATCACAGATTTTGGCTTTGCTGTAGACTGTCTGCATGTCAGCAATTATTTTCTGCAACTGTAAAATATGAAACAAAAACAGAATGGTTCATTCCTGCGCATTATATGAAATGGAGATTTCCTACGTATCCTAAATTTAAGAAAACGTGCACTCCGATGGTCTTTATGTTAGAAAAGTTGAAATTATTTTCAGAATATTATCGTGTATTTAAAATGTCAAAAAAACATGAAGAACATTTCATGATGTTTAACCCATATTAAGTGCTACCACCCAGCATAAAACCTCTCTTTCTTTGTCACTCCAACATTTGGTTAACAAAAAAAATCCAAAAATTAATTTGTTTTGCTCTTCAAACTCCCGCGTAATTAAGTGTGAGCTAGCGTAATGTTCAGCCGGCACACCACAATCAGTTACAATAAAAACAAATATGTTCTCTTGTAGAACAATTGAATTGATAATTAATTACGTGAATATTAATTTAATTACTCTGCTAACTTCCGAGTAATACTCGTAAATGGTGAGCTGCAGGGCATGTCTACTGGCCGGACCGCCGCCCGGCTTGCATGCGAGCCGGCGCGTCAGGAAACTGTGGGTTTCAACGAAAATTTTGAATTATTTTAAATATTAATTAATTGTTTTCAAATATTACATATAAAGTTATGGCCAATACTGTAATTGGTAATTTCTTTGGTTGGGACGTGCTTTTCGGTTTTGCCTCACTCATTTCCTCTTTATGAGGTCACGAACAAGTATGTAACAAAGGCCTTACAAAAATCAGTCAAATTTGAAAACAGAAGTCAAATACCAATGGAACAAATGTTTCAAACAGAATGCTTACGCTCCATAACACTTGTATGTCTAGACATGTGCAAAAACGTCATCAAACGAATTACTAATTTAAAACTGGTATATGCCACAAAGAATGTACATTCACATCTTGAGCAGTGAACGAACAGTTAATAAAGTGAACAAATACTTGCTATTATAAGCCTATAATGAGCATAATTTCAACAAAATAAACTTTTACCACTACTCGTATGTCTAACGTAATACGATAAAATGAAGGGTTTACCAACATACAGTAGATAAGGTATGGTAATGCACGCGTATGGTAATTCAGCGATCATAATAAAAGTTCATGGAGAACGTTTATGAACATAACAAAGTATTGACATAATTTTCACTAGTATATTTTGATTTGTTGATCAAAGAAAACACACTATCGAAGACAGTGCATGCATTTCATTTACATCAGCCAGCGACCGGGAGATCTGATGCGACGGCCGGGCGATCCGCGGTAAGTCAGGTGGTTGACAGGGTGGTAGGCGTGCCCAGCAGCTCACCATGAATTACTCGGAAGTTCGAAGAGCAATTAAATTTTTTGCGTATTTAATTAGAGATTAAATCGCTCTACACGATGGCATATTTGATTTTGTGGGAGCCGATTGTGGTGTGCCAGCTGAATATTCCGCCAGATCACACTTAATAACGTGGAAGTTTGAAGAGCAAAAAGCATTTTTGCGTAATTAATTAGCAATTAAATAGTTCTAAATGGTGGCATATGTGATTTTGTGATAACCGAATGTTGTAGTGCCAGCGGAAGGGATCTCACCGTGATGGTTATTAAGGTGATTCTTATACGATAATATTTTCATAGACTCTTAAGATCATGAAAATCTCCGTCTGTCAAAAGCCAACGGCTTCCGCTGAAGTGAAAGAGCGTGTAGAGGTTTAGGGAACACTATTACCTTTAGAAAGGGAAATAGCTTCTAAAGGTGTACGAACCGCTAAGTGGTCAACGTCATAGAATGCAGAAGCAGACTGGAAAACACTGTATTAATGATTCATATAAATATTCCCTGCTTTTCCAACATGATATGCCAAACGTCGTGGTGGCAGTAACAAGGCAATTTTTGCCTTTAGGATGATAATGATCATTATAATAAATGCTACAAGCTTCTAGGGTATGAAAGGGGAATACAATGATAACTTTTTGCTAACGAAAATGTTTATACTTTCATGCAACAAGTTACGCACATGATTCCCTTGAGTTGTTGGCAAATAATCGTGCATTGATGTTTGCAACAATGAAGTAGCTCTGCGTCAGATCATGACCTGCCAAACACCAGTGTAAGATGAATTGAATACAAATCCGTGACGTTAGAACTTCCATGTAATTTCATGTAATACACTCTAAATGATCATTGCAATAGTTTTGGTGCACCGGTAGTCAGAAGTACCAACGTTACAACTCATAATATTACCTTATAAATTTCTTTTTTGTGTTGTTCATTATAAACGTGCGTCAACATACATCTCATTTCGTTTTATAATTCCATAGAAAACAAACACAAATTTGAATGACCAACGTTTAGCCTTTCAAATCGGACTTCATAACTGACACACCTAGATATTTGTGACAATTTGGTATACGATGGCTGTAGTACATACCTTCGAATACCAATATTTAAACTCTAATATGGATTTATCGGAGCCAAAAGTGAGATATCATAAATAGCATAATTGAGACGTAGACTCTGAAATTAAATATTTGAGGAGTGAAAGAAATGTAACAATTACGATAGGCCAATGAAGTTAGTTACTAGAAGATGTTATTCTATATAAAAACAATTTAAATCCGGCCTATACACTATAACAATACGTGTAAAGAAAAAACGTTTTTAACGCAGCTTTGCACAGTACAAACCGAAGTACAATAAATTGAAGGTAAATCATCTCGGTGTCGTGCTGCAGCTCGTGGTCGTGGCTCACCTGGTCGTAGCGCGTGAGCGACAGCTCGTGGTTGTGGATCACCTGGTCGTAGCGCAGGAGCGTCAGCTCGTGGTTGTGGCTCACGTGGTCGTAGCGCGGGTCGCCAGCTCGTGGCCCGCATTCACCTGGTCGTAGCGCTGGGGGGCAGCTGATGGTCGTGGGTCATCTAGTCATAGCGAGGGGTGTGGGCAGATCGTGGCTCACCTGGTAGTAGCGCGAGGGCTGCAACGTTGCCGGTCTTGGCTCACGTGGGCGTAGCAGGGGGAAGGGTGGCGGCTCATGATCGTGGCTCACCTGGTCTCAGCGTGAGCTGGGATCTCTTAGTCGGGGTTCACCTGTTGGTAGCGCGGGGCGGTAGCTCCAGTCGTGACTCACCTGATCGTAGCGCGGGGTAGCAGTTCGTGGTCATGGTTAATCTAGTAGTAGCGAGGGACGACAATTCGTGATTGTGGCTTGCCTAATCCTAGTGCTCGGGTGGCTGCTCGTGGTCGTAGCTCACCTGATCGTAGCGTGGGGTGGCAGCTCGTGGTCGTATCTCATCTCTTGCGCGTAAAGCAGCTCGACGTCGTGCTGCAACTCAAGGTTGTGGCTCACCTGGTCGTAGCGCAGGGGCGCCAGCTCGTGGCCCGCGCTCACCTGGTCGCAGCGCTGGGAGGAGGGGCAGCTCATAGTCGTGGGTCATCTAGTCGTAGCGAGGAGGGTGAGTCATCTAGTCGTAGCGCGTGAGCGACAGCTCATGCTCATGGCTCACCTGGTCGTGGGGCGGGGCGCAAGCTCGTGGTTGTGGCTCACGTGATTGTAGCAGAGGGCGCCAGCTCGTGGTCGGGGCTCACCTAGTCGTGACCACGCGAGCGGCAGGTCGTGGTTGCGGCTCACCTGGTCGTAGCGCGGAGGTGGGAGCGCGGCGGTGCCTAACACAGCCAGCTTCTTTAGCTGGCGGCGCGTGTCCGGGTCGCTGAACTCCTGCCAGGGGAAGGCGGTAGCCCGGCGCCATTGCTCCTTGGAGAAGGCAGCCAGCGCCGCAGACGCCTTCAGCTGCGGGAATAAGCGAAAGCTTTAGATCATTATGCCAGCTCGTGGTTGTCCCGTTGTATACCAGGACGTTATATATCAGGAGGCGGAGGTGTTCCTTCCTGATTGCAATTTGTGATTCGGAGCCTTCAACGTCTTAAATGAATATTCCCGTAAGTGTAGTAGGTGCCATATCTCTGGATTAGAAGTGTTCCTTCTTTACTGCTCCTTGAGTTTCGGTTCAACACTTTAGATGATAATTTCCGTAAGTGTTGTTGGAGCAAGCTCCTAAAAGCTACTTAAATTATAATTGTATATTTTTAATACACGTTCTTGTCATGTACCAACAACCTAGTTCTGTACAAATTTATAACTCTAATTTGTATCCTTAGATTTAATTACACTGAAAACAAATTTTAAAAATTGGTGAATATCTTAATATCTAATACATATTCTTAGATAAATGAAACGTGCTTATTCAAAATATGCAAACCATTTCTCTCTCTCACGCACCGGTTTTTAGATATACTCGTTCAACCATTATTATTTCTCTAGAAAAAAGTCTTAATTGGAGTACTAATGAACGTCGAATTAGCTGCGAAATAGTGAGACTGAATCACATGACACGCATGCTACGTAGTAATATATTGTGAACGCATGTGTGTAGGTTCGCCACACACGCCCACACGTCAAAATAACACCAATAGCAGGACGTGCGAGCGAGCGCAGCGCGGTTCAAAATCGGCGCGCCCGCCGCCGATAAGACGATTGCCTGTGGTGACCACTAGATAGCGCATGAAATGCAAGTCAGCCGGAGGAGGGGTAGACGTCACGCCACCCCTGCAATGGAGGGTTGGTTTCTTTTGCCACCGCTAGCCGAGCAGGCAGCTGTTCGTTATGATTAGCTTAGATATTGTTCGCCGCTAGACTACTAGATAGGAGTATTCGGCGTCGAACAGACGTTCCAGTTAGTCGTCCGCAAGATAGTGAGGATTCAGTAAAATATTTCTTAAATTAACGACACAGGAAGTAAACGTTACCCGTTGTGAGAGAAGCAGTGAAAGCTCTGGTATAGTATCCGCCATTCACTCTACGCTTAAAGTAACGTCCCAGTGTCATTCTGTCCGAACCGCGTACCTTCTGCTGCTGGTTGTGTTCTGTGAGGTTGGAGTCGTAGGCCCAGGCGGCCAGCTCGTAGTCGTTGAGGCGGCGCGCCGCTTCTCGGTCGTACTGCTGCAGGAAGGCGCGCGCCTGCTGCTCCAGCTGCTGCAGGTCTGCCCTCTGCGCCGTGGGCGTGGGCGTGGGCGTGGGCGTGGGCGGGGATTCCTCTGGGCTCTGTAGCATCGTGTTTGCGAGGCCCCCCGCCGCCGCCGCCAGGAGCAGCACTGTTGCCGTCCAAACCGCTCCCGTCAAGGACAGCTCAAGACCGAACACTACGCAGATGTACTAGTGATTGATTGATGGACTAGCGTTTGATTGATTTGTTGATTTGTGATACCAGGTTCATCATCAGTTTGTCATGTAAGTGTAGTGCATTGTTTTTATTGCGAGAGGCTTTCGTTTATTTCGTACTCGCCTGCGAGATCTTTCACCGGCCTAAGCCAGCTTGTGAGGAATTTGCCCAACTATGTAGCTTCCAACAGCAGGGCGCCTTCCTACCGCGGCAAGCTGGAAGCTCGCGACAGGCGTCCTGATTTGTGTGGTAGTGTAGCGCACGTTAGTGTACGTATAAGCAAGTGGTGGGGTTAGAATACGTCGTAGGAAGACAAAAGCCTGGCGTTCCGTGGCCCGTTTGTTATGATACTGCTCTGGCATTCGATTGGCATTGATTGAAGAAACCACAGGAAAGTACCCATCAGAGAGCCCGCCTCTAGGACAAGTGATGTGACATCGACTTTCTCAGTCAAAATTTTGAAGACGTGAAACACCGAGCACAAAACATCGATGATAAAAACAGTGTGAATGAGAATAAATTTTACAAACTTCTAGGGCATGTCATGGAGCTTTGATTGTATCTGGACGGGCGTGAATAAAACCTGGTGGCTGACAATTTAAGAATACAATTGAAGACCTCAAGGCAATGTCACGCTATGCCACAACATGTAACCTTTGAGAAAAATTAAAGTGTAGGTTTAGGCATTGCATTTACAAATTGGGATAAAGAACATTATTTTACGAATATCACTGACATCTTCCAACGAATCTTTACAATAAAAAAACAACATCTAGAAATATCTATAGGGCGTCGAAATACACTAATATTTCAATTTCATCAGAAATGTAGCATCGCATGTTATTTCAATAGCAGAATAGGGTAAAAATATACTTAATATTAGGATATTCAATACTAAATTATAATAAAAATTGAACTCATTATTTTTCATATCCTTTTGTTCAGTTTCTTTTCTCCAAGGATTTTTTCGTGACACGTAGTTGGTGGGTCACCTGTATAGATTTCATGAAATTCATGCAGAAATATCGCAAAAACTATAAAGTTTTATTAAACAAATGAACAATATCTGTTATAATGAACTGATTTTTACTTTCTAGTTACTGCTTACACGGTATAGAGAGATTGTTATTAAATGCTGCTGGAAAAATCGGCTAATTTTAGACAAAATATTTCAATGAAACTGCCAGGCCCTTGAAACGAAAAAAATGTATAAATCCAGTTTCTAAATATTGGGGAAATGTCCAATAACACGTCGTAAAGCCAGAATAGATGTTTTGTGGATCGTTGATTCCGATAAACCGATTGATGGCAAAACGTCTCTCCGCCTGTGAAAAATGCTAGTGGCTAAATCGTCCAGTCCATTTTCTCATAAGTCGATATTCCGTAATGGATATGACGTATGTTGCGGCCCCATGAATTTTTAACATATATTCTAATTTTGGTTGGTTCTTACCGTAAATGAAGTTTCTGAGACATATTCAAAATTTTCAAATTAAATGGCGCCATGTTTTCTCATTAAATTTTGTTGTCGGGTAGCGTAATAATTACGCATCTGCCTGATTTTCATTGAAATTCTGGGTTTTTCAGACAATGCAACAATTTATTTTTTATTCCTCCTACGATTACAGTGTGGTCTGAAGAACCACAAAAACATGTATTCTGACTTTTCAACGAATTAGAGGGATTTATATAGTACATGTAAGAGCAAAAATTATCCAATTTTTTAATATCAGGGTTCTTCAAAACGAGTTTTTCGGCCGAGAAATCGCGGATTTTCGCCGCAGCATTACTCTCTCTTTACTACGTACGTAATATGCTATTAAGAAAAAGTTGGCTTTTCTGCCTGCTCAACTCCGATTCCACAACTGCAATTTTCACATCTTGCTTTTAATGTTTTTTAACATAACGAAATAAGGTTCGAAGCAATTATGATATGTCAATTCAGCGATCGCCCTTTGTGAGAACGAAGCTTCATTATTAATGTCGGTTTCAGGATCTGCCTTAATTTCTACTTTATATTATAAAACGCCATATATTTAGTTTTAAAGAAGACTTATATTGTTTATAAAATGTAACTTTTTACGTCACATTATAAACCATTTATTGATGAAAAATTTTCTTTTTATAAAAGTAAAATTTTATGTAATTAAATATAAGTGTTATAGAAATTATTATAATTAAATAAAGAAATATGTGGGTAAAACATTTCTTGACAAATATTTTTCTTTCACTAAAAGTGAAACAATAAATTATTTATGTGTCACAAAGGGCTGTCCTTTTATAAAAAAAAATTATGGCTATTAAGTAAAACTACATATCGGAAGTATTATAATATAAAACAAAATCTCCACTTACCTTTCACGTGCGCCATAGCGTAGGTTCAGGATGCAACTCGCGGCTGACCTGGGGCGAGCCGCTGTTTGTGTGAGCCGAGGACCGGTTTGTTTGCTTCGTCCGGTTGTTGCTCTCTCGATTTGGCCACCTGCCACCGCATCTCGCAGTGTCGAGTTCACTTGTTCATTGCATGTTAGGCTAGCGAAGGTTGCGGTTCACGCAGTTATCCGTTATATTTAAAATCGATTATTATTAATCGATATTAATAATTTTAACTCTGTAATAGCTCTACTCTATACGATGACGTAGACGCCACAACGCTCTATTCTTTTGTTTTTTCAAAGTTCATTTCGGAGTTTTTGTTTTTTAAACGTTACACATATGTAATTTCTTTGAAATATATCTCACTCCGTTATTATGAAATTTCCATCAATTTATAATCACTATTGTATTTGTGAGTTTAATATGTTTTAAATAACTTTAACGTTTTTTGAAAACTCAAAAACGTTTGTGAAAAAGAGCTTTAAATTTCGAATTTATTGTACCGCTTAAACCCCAGTTTTTTAAAAACGTTCCCAATTTTTTCAAATAAAATTGCCATTTAGGACGAGGTTTTACTGTTCTTTAATATACTTAAAATAATATTTCCTTGTACTATTAAGAAACCGATAAATTAAGGAAATTTCAAAAAATGTACTTTGGACGGCGATAGATGGAAGGTGGAAAGAGTATGTGACAAGTCCGAGTTGCTAGCAAGACCAAAGGAAATAGAAAAAATAATACGGGAACGTCTGTGCCATTCTGTGGGACCGCTCTTTGGGACGCCCTTGAGCTGTATCATCAAACTAGAAACTTATGCAAGAATTAAATACAGCGTGTTTGATTAAAACGACTAATTCACATGCATAATTAAAACTGTTATTCAGAAAAGATTATCTGTCGTATCAAATAGGAAAGGTAAAAATCACAAAATAATGTAGCTATATAAGTTTTACTTTAATTGCCATACAATGCAAAAAATATTTGCAACCTTCACTTCTACAAAGCTTGAGGTGTAGGACTGCGGGTGGTCCCTGTCGGTAAAGTTGTCTCATCAGCTCTCTGCGTGTAGAGTTCTTCTTGTCCAGACACACAACCTGCAAACAAAATAATGAAAAATATTTTTTTATGATTACGCGAGGGTCCTGGTAAAATCGACATATCAGTTTAAAAGTAAAGTTAAATCTATTCTGAGGCATAACTGTTTCTATACAATAAATCTTACTGACTGTTAAAAAGAAAAACGATATTAATTTTCATAATGATATAAATGCATTAGATCCTATTTACAATGCATAATTCTAAAAGTATTGTTTGTCAATGACCGCCGTCCATGAAGCAAATGGTAAGAATTAAGTGCTGGGGTGCGGTAATACTCCGCCGGGGAGATATTTGGAGGGAGAAATCCTGAGAGCTGACGTATATGTCGGCGTTTGATTTTAGTACAAATAGGGAAAGAACATCGCCATTTCCTTTGATAAAATCATCCACTACACTCACGGGACTACTGGCCACAGTAATTGGCATGCCCTAAAATACAAAATATTCACATTATTTTCAAAAAGTGAAGAATCCTGTACGTCTCTTGCAAAACGAACGTCTTCCCAAATTATTCTTCTCACCCAAACTAGTATTCTCACACTTTCTCTTTTTGTACACTGTGTTCTTGAAGATAACATTTTTTTTTCATTGAAACAAACTTCCCAAAAGGGAACGAAATTAGGGGCAATTGTCTCGAAATCAAACGTGAAATTCCACTCGTGTGTTGTTTTTCAGTTTTGCACACAAAGAAAAGAAAAGCGGCAAGAAAGAAGAAAAAACAAAGAAAGAAGGAGGAAACAAAAAGAGAGAATGAAAAATAAAGGAAGAAACAGTAAAGCAAGAAACAAGAAACTAGTGGTGCTACAGAATGGCACAGATTTTTCCGTATTAGTTTTCTATTTCCTTTGGTCTCGGCTAGCTATTCGAATTTGTCACATACCCTTACTTGCTGCTATCTATTGCCGCCATCTATCGCATTGTTTAATTTTTCTGTTTACTAATTATAGAACAATTATAAAATAATTATTTTAGAATATGAAAGAACAGTAAATCCGCGTCATAAATAGCAATTTTCTTTGAAAAATTTGGAACCGTTTTTAAGAAAATGGCTCTTAACCGCTACAGTGTATTCGAAATTTGAAGCTCTTTTTCACAGACAATTTTTGAGTTTTCGAAAACTTCATATTATGTCACTTTAAGCACCTTTAGTCACAAATACAATAGTGTTTACAAATTGGTGGAAATGGGCATATTGACGGTGTGAGAGATATTTAAAAAAATAAATGTAAAAAAAAAAAAACACTAAATACCCCGAAATTAACTTAACATAATATTAAAGAGTGCAATATTACTATCCGTTCGAAAAGTTGAAAAGAAAATTTAGAGCAGTTTTTTGGAAAATGGAGTTTGAGCGTTTCTGAAAATGCGAAATTTTGAGTCCGTTTTGACAGAAAACGGTTGAGTTTTCGAGAAGCTTTATCTGACATTATGTAAAGCACATGTACTCATACATATAATAGTGTGAGAAAATTGGAAATATTAACGACGTGAGAGACAAGTCAGGAAAATTACATATTTGTATTTTTTTAATAAAACAAAAGAATAGAACCATATGGCGTTTATGTCATTTTATAGAGTGAATTGAGCACAATCCCTACCAAACGTTTAAGGAAAAAATTGGAAGCGGTTTTTTAGAAAATATTATTTTTGTAATTTTTCATAACTGCAGAAACTGCACGCAATATTGCGTGAAAACACGTTAAATTTTCAAAAAACATGTACATGACCTTAATGAAAGAACAAATTATGTACAATAAATTTATTTGCAGAAAAAATCCCTATCTTTAATTTTGTTGTTGTGGGAAGACCCCGAAAAAATTCCAACTTTCGAAATTTTCAAAATTTCAGGGTTAACCGTGAAAATTGGACCAATGCCAGATTTATAAGTGCATTTTACTCTATTCTTATAAGAATTTTAGAAAAAATTTGGAGCCATTTTTGAGAAAATTTTGAAAATGTGCCAGGCTTCATGTAAAATATCCCCCAAAACTTTTGAATGATTTTCAAAATCGCAGAGATTCGACTCAGGCCAAATGGACAGGGATCTCCTCAATTTAAAAAAAAATAAATCTTTGGCATGGTTTACGTGCTAGTGTTGATCACAAATACCAGACAGACGGACGAACGTTTTAGAGAGGAAAAAACCTATGAGGGGACCCCAAAACGTGTATTTCCGTTGAAATCTCAAAATCGATTTTCCGCAGCATTACATAACTTTCCCTATACTATGTATAGGTATATACGTACGTATACGGGAAAGTAAAACTAGACAAAAGAAGAAAGGAAGAGGAAAAGAAAGAAAAGGGTGCGGATAACAATGGAATGCTTATTAGTTTGGGAGTGAAGAATTTGTGGAGAAGTTCGGACTTAATGATTTCTCTTCACTGAATCAAACTTCACACAGATGCCCCCGAATTAGGGGCCATTGTCTCGGAATCAGACGTGGAGTTCAACCACACACATTCAAACCGTTGAATATCCCCTCGTGTTTTCATGTTTTGTTCTTCGGGTTTGTGGACAAAGAAATAAAAATTAGGAAGAAAAAAACGAAAGAGAGAAAGAAAAAAGAAAGAGAAAGATGAAACAAATACATTATTGACTGGGCTGAAGAATTTGTGAAGTTCGAAATGGAAGAGAAAAATGATTATTTTCAACCCAATTTATAATTGTTCTATTAAAGCCTCATTGATAACTTAATTTCAAGACATGCATAAATAAATATTGCAATTCTTTTTCCAGTTTTATTTTATTTCTCAACAAATTGTTCGACAACAATGCATTTTGGCATAAAGTGCGTTTAACAGACGCAAGGATACGTTAAGGTCGTCACTGCCCTGAGGAAGCCTGCGAAATGTCAGGCGAAACGTCGGCACCCCAGCCAACGACGCGGCGTCTCCCGTCAGCCGAGAATTCATGGATTCGAGCCGCGGAAGCTTACGTACACAAGGATACGTTAACTCTGAGACTAAAGGGAAGAGCCTCGTTAGCTATTTGGACAAGGGTAGTTGCTAACTGAGTTCTAAACGGACTGAAGATCCAGTGAAAAGTTTTTCTCGACATTGCGTTCGAGGATTGGAGTTGTCGTTCTTCAGGTTTTCGTGGAAGTGAGTTGATTCCTCCATATGCACCATTAGCTAATTGTTCTGTTTTTGGGGCGGTAATTTCAGAAGTACGCTTTCCATTTCTCCTTTTCTTGGTATTGTAATAAAAAGGTTATTGTAACTGGATGAATTTTTCGATACAAAGTGGACTAAATTACCGAATAAATCCAATAACTCCATGAAAAGTACGTCTATATTATTAGCAGTTAAACAGCAAGATATGACTTCTATTGGCGCATTAAATTCAGAACATTTCAATGATGTTCACCACTCTCCACCAACGATGTATACCATGGCAATAATATAAAACATATCACATTATATCACAAAAAATTTCAAAACGGGAATAAATATCGCAATCGCATGTCAATATCAGAAGTAACACGAACATACGCAGTACGCTACATTCAACAAAACGGAGAGTACGGAGTACATTTGAAAATATGTTAGAAGAGAAGAAACAGAACATCAAAAGTATCATAAAGCATTATCGAAAATATAACAATTTTTATGACACTGTGCATCCACTATTTTAAGGATATGTCTATAATTCTTTATAATGCGCTTACAGTCAGGAATTGGTAGGGTACACTCGTAGTTTTCAACAAATGTAAAATGAATCTGCAAAATCAAATATACATTACTTACTCTTCTTCGAGCGATCCCAACCAGGAATCTGCCCGGTGCGTCGGTTCTCCTCCTCAAGCCACTGGGCGAGGGGCCGGAAGTAGTCGAGGAGACCGGAAGCGTCCATGTGGCGGCTGCCCGTTACAGCCTCCAGCGCCTCTGGCCACGGCCGGCTGCTCCCCAGGCGAAGCATTGCCCTACGACCACAGCACACATTCACACACCGGCTTCTCCCCAGGCGAAGCATTGCCCAACGACTACAGCATACATTCACAGACACACCGACTCACAGTGGTTGATTTCCAGAATCTAGCGGTATTTAAATCAAAAATACATATGCTCGAAACGAATTAAAACCTACGTGGGTTTGTTCCTAATAGTGCTGCCAGGACTGTACCAGTACCCATAAGTGCAACATTCATTTCTCAGAAGAATTGGGGGTATGTTCAGCGAGCTCTTCCGAGCCGCACGCCACCGTGCCTAATCCTGCTTTGACGCGCTTAGTATTATTGCCCACTGCCACTGAATTGTTAAGGATAACTTCATTGTTTATATGGACAGAATCTAGAAGGCATGTTTTAAAATACACTAAGTTAATTGCAAATTTTAAATTTTTGGTTGTATTTTATATGAGAAAGTATCACCATAATTTGATACGTTTTTAGTGATTGAAAATTTAAAACTGAGTTATCTTGAGTTGCACAATTGCAAGAATTCTCTGCGCGATTGTATTATCTAAACTTCTGAAACAAATGGCGAAACATTTTTGCCGAATTTCCCCCTTCTCGAAAAAAATCTTTTTTTTCCAGATGCTTGCACAGTCACTCGACGGAGCTATTCGAGCTCTTGCGTGACGGTGAACTCTCTTATGTCACAGATTTACAAATAGAAAAAACTAATGCAGAACGTTTCTCCGTAATGTTATTGAAAGTATTCCAGATGCGGTATTAAGTGAAAGACACGGAGATTCACCTGCAATTGCTGACAAATGTACAGAATGGTAGAGCAGATTCGCGGCAAGGACCAGCATGATTGGGCGACGAAATGTTGTGTGTCTAGGAAGAAACGCAGAAAACGACGAAAGGTAGACAGTAAAAGAATTATCTTTCATGTTGAAGAAAAAAGGTAAAAGTTCAGTGAGATTTTACAGTCCATTAAATTCGAATTGTGAAGGTGACAAACATAGCAAAATGCAGAAGTTCGTTTAGAAAACATTAAGAAGCTTCAAGCAACAAAATTGAATTTTGGGGTCAGATATCTAGGATATCACCAAATAT